ACACACACACACACACACACACACACACACACACACACACACACACAAAACGTATACATGGATTTTAACAGATTGACACTAAACATGAAGCTCATTACATAATCACATGGGACTTGTTAACTTGTGTCTCAGGGTGGCGGGCGCAGTGTTCTTCTGATCTTTGCGATATAAAGCTTTGACTGGCACTACAACTGTTATGGACAGGCGTGTAGCTTACCATCACGCGCACGACTTGTTCGTACCGTCACTTGATATTATAAAAAAAAAAAAAAATATCCTCCGAAATTTCTAGTTACAGAGTTATTACATTTAGGTAGCGACACGAAATCGTATTAAGCGGGTTAGAAAAAGCTTATTGTCCATGTCATAAAAGCAAGAAAAAAGGCGTGCGTTTCGCGTCAGCGCTCCGAGCGGAAGCGACATGCGCAACGTCTTTTTTTGCTCTTATTGCAACGATATAAAACTTTTTCTGACCGGCTCATGCTCATTCCGCGTTGACAAGTATGGTGACTCCCTTAGTCGTGCTAAAATTATTAACATATTTGTATGATTTTTTTATGATACCAACTGATAGAATGAACAAGTCGTGTTAAGCTGCACGCCTGTCCATATGACCTTTTTAACACTAGTGCTACATCGGTGACGCGTCTTTTGGCCAGCAGGTAATTACTAAGTGTTGCGAAAATGTCATTACCTATATAGTATAGTTAGTAGTTATATAGTTATAATTTATCATTAACTTAATGTGTGTCTATCGGTGAGGACCTATAATTTGCTCTCCATTATTATTTCAGTTTTTACTCTTTAAGATAACCGTTGGTCTTCCAATAAGTTAAAATAAAATAGCACTTACAGTGCCACTAGAGCTTTAAATTGGCAACGATCCGAGGGGCACTGCCACTGCGCCCGTCACCCTGAAACGTAAGTTGACAAATCCCATGTGCCGCCAGAACCATTGAACCCTTCAAAATCAAGACGCAATAATGCACTCGTTACTACTTGGCGGCAGAAATAGGTAAGGTGGCAGTACATCCCTGGAGGAACTCTTTCACAGGGGTGCTGCTACTCTACTAGGTATATAATATGATAAATAAACAACTTGACACCAATTTGATGATTAATATAAAACATGATTAATAAACAACGAGATTAATATATATTATGCAAAGACCCTAATAAAAAAGATTGCGGGATATCGACTGTGAACTGGCAAACAAAGAGGATGAAGAAAAAATAATTTATATAGCACACGGAGTATTTATATGGTCTGTGATATGGCATCTAGTTTATTAAATAAAAATACGTAGAGTGCATACATACATGTGTAATATAAATATTTAAAAACTACGTATTTTTATTTAATAAACCAGATGCTACATACATGACGCAAACAATTTTTTCTACATCCTATAAAGTTGTCAAAATTGAAATAGTACATACCGATTGCCAGTTCACAGTCGATATGTGAAAGGAAATTTTAATCACTACAAACAAAGCCACTGTGAGATTGATTTGCATAACTTACCAAGAACAAAACAAGCTGTGTAAACACCACCTCCAAAAGCAGGTTCCAAGAATTCGAATATAATGAACATGTCGTAGTTGACAGACAGCGCTCTGATCACACCGAAGACCCCGTTGGCGATGCAGGCGAAGATGATGGCGATTTTTCGGCCAAACTTGTCTGACATGACCCCCGTGAGAGGAATAGCGATGAAGAAACCTGCGTTATGGACTGTACCCACAAGGGTGCGCTTCCAGTCTTGACAGCCCAGGTTGAACTGGAAATAAAAAAGGACTGGGTCAACATTTTCGAAGCCTAGATCCGAAAAGACATACAGGTCATTTTAAGTTTTTTATCCTAAGAGCAACAACATACTGACATAATATTATTGATTTCGTTATAATTGATACAAAGATCGAATACAGAGACAAATTCATTCGATCCGGCTGGATTCGACGACGCTATCCCAACTAAACTAAGAAACGAACCAGCACACCCAACGAATTTTTTCATGTGCTTGTTGCAGATCTTTGTTAATATTTTTTTACGATTTTTTTACCATATGTGAGAAATTTATGAAAGGTTTTCTTCACTCAGCCAGGTCCTTTTATAACTACCAGGGGCTGACAAGAGATGTCGCTTTAATTATTTTAATATGAAGATTATTAACATTTGGAAAGGGGAATAAACACGTTTACATACGAATAGGTATGTTTATTAAAAAAAATAAAATAATATTATTTTTAATAATATAATAGTCTTTTTATTGAAAAATACCTATTCGTATGTAAAGGCGTTTATTCTCGTTTCCAAATGTTAGTACAATGCAACGCGAAAGTTCAAAAGTATATATAAAGGAAGATAATTGACTATCACAATGTTTTACTACCACGGTATTAATTTATTTTTGTTAAATTACTCCACTAGTTTGTTATAATTATTAATACAAAGATCGAACACAAAAAATTTCATTCAATCCGGCTGGATTCCACCCTGCGTGTTCAGCATACCAGTCATAATTTGTTATTATTTTTGTGACGGCGTCGAAATTTCGTCGACTCGGCTAATTCGACCTGTAACTTAGTTGAAAGAGCGATGGGGACGGAATCCCGTGGTCGCAGTCTCGAGTCCTGTCGGGTGGACAGATTTTTTTTAATCAACCTTTGTATTTAATCATTAAGACAACGTAGTTGCAGACAATTATCGACGTTATTCAGAATTGCAAACGATCAACCTGATTCGAAAGTTTGAAGGGTTCTGCTTCTTAGTTTTCGTTTTTTCTAATCATAACGAAAAAGAAATATAATAATAACGCATAATAACGCATACACTAATAGTCCCGCAGGGAAACCCTGTATCGCGGGTGCCATGGACACACATAAAGACAACCACAAATTATACCCAAACTCACGAGATAAATAAACGTAGGCCATACAAATATTTCTCCCGGCCCGGGAATCGAACGACCTCTGCGTGGCAGTCTAGCATGGTAACAGTTTATCTATTATATTTTAGTATAACTATTGTAGTATTATTATTCTATTTCGACGATGTATAATAATAATAAATTTTATTTTTCAATAACAAACAGTCCTGTTTTGTTAGTAAACAATGTTGATTTTTAAAAATATTATTTTTATTTTATTATAAATTAAAATACAGTTGAAATGAGGCTGAATTTTTACGCATGATGAAAACGTGGCAGCCCTAACAACATCCGAAAACCATTGTTGTACTGCACTAGTAGGGCCGTATAGTCGGTCCGAAGGCTGCACGTGTAGAAAACTCGGTAGTACGCTTTGAAAAGTATGATTTTTACTTGTCTGTTACTCACGTGGTCCCTGAGATTGTAACAAAATGGCCTAGGCATTTATAAAGATACATCCGCAGAAGTTCTCCATTGCTTAACCTTATGAGTGGTACATGACTCGGTTGTCTGCCCCCGATCGACAATGTCATATAAAGAAGGATGGCGAAAGCTGCCCCAATAACGACGAAGAGCCGTTCATGAACTTTGCTAGTATAATTTTGCGTTTTAGTTTATGCCTAGTTATCAACATATTTTTGTATATTTTTAGAAGTCGGGAATAAGAAAAATTGTAAAACATTATATTTTAGAATAGATGCAAGAACACAACGCAATTAATTCAGTTCGACCATAGATTAGGTAACGTTCTTGTACGTACGTTTTATTTTAAGCATGATTGAATATGTACCTACCTGAAGTACCAGTATTTTATAGTACACACATAAAACATTAAAGCTATGAAATTCCTAATGAAATAATCAATTATACAGTAATGACATAAAGCAAAAAATAAAACACAATGTGACAAAAATATTTAGACATTTTTTCAAAGAAAGATAATGAAAGTTGCAAAGGAACGTTTTGACAAGAGCCCTCTTGCCAATGTCAATGTCACATTGATATTGAGAACAGTGTCATTTGTGGCAGATTTCTTCGAAGATTAATTTTTATTCGTTTTCATTGCTGCAGAACATGATGAGATATATTAAATGTGGCAAAGTTTGGCAGATTTGGGAATATTCGGGAAGTTCTTAATTATTTTTGGGAACAAACTGAAGACTTGTTGTTTTCGAAATACAGGACAATGTTATAAACATAACCTATATCATCTTTATAACCCCAGCTTCTACGGTCCGTACTCAATTAGCTTTTTTGATGCTTTGATAATGAATCACAAGTATTGATAGGTCTCCTTAATGCACGTCGTCAAAAACACTGGGTCACATAATACACGGGATGTCGCCATCCTTCTTTAAATCTAGTTTTAGTTTCTAGTATAGCTTTTTTCGTTTTTTTTTTAGTTTCTAGCTATTATTTTGATATACGGCACAAGTAAAAATTACGTTTTTCAAAGCGTACTGTACACAGTGGTCTCTTAAGGCACTGGTCGTCTCTACATTTAAGTTTATGTACTAACATAAAATAATACTAACATAGTTATGTAACTAAAACTAAAACTAAACTAAGTTATATAAGTATGTTAGTATTATATTTAAAAAAATGTAAGTTTTGTATTACCAAATAAATTCATTTTTTTATTGTACCTTACCTGTATATTTAGACTTATTGTCTAATAAATAAATACCTTGCCAGTCACCTAAATGAAGTATTAGATTAATTTGTCTCATAAATATGTCGTGTTTTAACAATATCGATTGTCATGAATCAATCGCGACCTTCAAAGGCTTAGCAACCTAATTATTTTTACTCGCTTAATTGGAAGTAATAAATCAATGGAAAGCATTACAGTCTATGCTATCGACACGATAAGTAATAATAAATCATCTGTATAGACTTTACTATACATCATCAACCCAGTAGTAGCTACGTAGTAAGTACTGCCACCTTAACTATTTCTGCCGTGAAGCAATAATGTCAGCATTATTGTATTCCGATTTTGAAAGGTTACGGGTAGACGTGTCGCATACCACCAGGCGCATGACTCGTTCTTCCTGTCACTTGGTATAATAATAATAATAATATAATAGTAACGCACTAACTCAACACAGACCCGCACTAGGGAAACCCTGTGTCGCGGGTGCCTTGGATACACACATAGACAACCACAAATTACAACCAAACTCACGAGAGAAATAAATGTAGACCATACAAATATTTCTCCCGACCCGGAAATCGAACGAAGAGGTCCCACTTCTGTGTGGCAGTCCGGCAAAAAATAAATCAATCCAGTTGTACTACCCACTGCTGGACGTGGGAGACCACGAGGGGACTAAGAGGGGTATTAGGCGAGGGTTTAGGCCATAGTCCACACTGGCTTAATGCGGGTTGGGGACTTCACACTTTTTCCGAGGGTTGTGAACCTTCTTCAACGTGCAGGTTTCCTCGCGATGTTTTCTTTAACCGAAACTGGTAAATTTCAAATAAAATTACGCACGTAAATTCCGAAAAACTCAGAGATGGGAACTTGGTTTTCAACCTCATGGCCTCGGCTTGAGAGGCTGTGTGGTACGGCTTATATTAGATTTAACTGTGACGGTGTGACCTCCTTGCATCGTCATCCCACCTTTTTATTTAAATTTCTTATTTTATTCTCACATTCGTATTTAAATTCAAATTCTTAATTGTTCCATTCTTTTGCCTCGCATTCTGATTTTGTTTCGTTCCATCGACACTTCCTGCCCGATCGCGGTAGCGAACACATCTCTTGTTATCTTTTTGAATCTTTTACTAGTTATATTTACACCGTTTACATTTTAAAGATCATAATATTATCTTAAACCTGAATAAATACCTATCAAACTGGACTTTCAACTTTTGAACTACTAAACTTACTAAGTAAGATGTATGGGCTGCGGAGGCTACTACATTATTTATATATATTACTACATTCCATCCAACAGGACACAATGCCGCCTTACGGCACCAGCAGCCCCCTTACATAACTATTTCTAAAATAATTGCTTGAATCTGTTTATAGTCTAAGCGATTCAGTCACGCAAATCATTAATAGCAATTGTGTCAATGTTTACGTGTCGGGTTATTTAATGAATTAGTTAAGTTGCAAAATATTTTCATTGACCAAAATCATCGAGTGTATAATTTAAATAGAGACGAAATAAGGGTCATCCATCCCTGGCAACTCATCACGTAAATGGGCTTTATATCACTTTTAAATATCAACTCTCGTTTGCGCTGAAATCACAAATTACAAATCTGAAATAATATAGTATAGCGCCAACAACTGACCTGCGTGTACATCTTCGAATATTTCAAAAATATTCTGTATTCATTGTAATAAGTTTAATATCTCTAATAATGGGGGGCTGTTCCATTCGGTGGTGTGGGAAAAACAGCAAAACATCTAATTACATTTCATCGGAATACGAATCACAATTCATCGGTAATTAAATATGCAGTATTTAAATTATCGTCCATTATAGCAAAGCTCAAGTTAAACTGGTCGAATTGAAGTGATGACACCCGTCAATTGTTTCGAATTCGGGCTGGCCAATCTGAACGCAGAATGATTTGGCAGAATAGTTTTGAAACAAATTAAATGACATTTCGTCTCTATTTCTGGTTAAAGTTCGATGACCAAAAACGCTCAAATACACAAGGAATCACATAAACTCTTACAATTAAAATTCTGCCACATCTCTATAAAAAAAAATTATTATGTAACTTTTCAAGGCCAATTATGATCACAGAAAAATGCTGTAAATAGAACTTTCCAAGTTCAATTTTTCGAGACACGACCAGAGCGCAGAGATGGGCAAGAGTTAGCGCCG